ATATTTCTTTTATTCTTTGTTAATCAGTTTTTAATAAAATGCGCGTAAAACTATAGAAGTTGAAAAAAGGACAATGTTTATTATGAACAAAGCTTGCTACGTAAGTTAGAATTACCCAGGAAAAATGATTGATTATACTACAGGCAGGTTTTTTTTCGTTTTACGAATTTTGTCTTCATTTTTTAATTCACAGATATTTAATAATATCCACATAAAACGTGATTGGTTGCAAGCTTTGAGTATGTTCGTATATCTAGATAGCCAACTAAAAACTTGCTCACATGCTTCAGTGTTAACACATTTTGCAACAGGATGTTCATTTGGATTCATGTTGGCACGGCACCATGGATCGACATGATTTTTAAAATGAAATTTGTCAATGACATAATTCATATTCTTCAATGTTTCAGATGACTGAGTTATTACTTTAATGTTTTTCTTTGTGTTTCTTGCAAACCTGCTGAATTTGCAGGCGTTATCGAACGCAAGGATATTTGGTAAATAATGCGCCCTGTTGTGGATAACGTTCGCCATGAATGCGTATACTTGCGTTATTGATTCGGAACCAAATATCTCAACAAGTGCAAAAATTATACCGCAATTGAAAACAGCAGCAACTGCTCCAGCCGATCTGGGATTTTTTTCGCGTGCAGTTTTGTCTGTTTGACAAATTGTTGATGGTTGATCGTCTGGATCACTAGAATCATATTCATTTAATATTAAATTTGCTGTTGGTGGTTGTGGTTCGTCGTATTCATACTCAAATGATAAATCCAAATCTGTTGTGCTTTCTATCTCATCTGTTTCTGCATCTTCATGAGCAGGAAGATGATTTTCGCAATGTCGTTTTTTATATAATGGTGTAAATGGACAGCTTATCTACAAAGGAAACCAATAGACATGAAAATTAAAGTTAATCTATATAAGAAACTGGAAAAGCTCCTGAGAATTACACTTATATTTGTTACAGCTGTTGTAACCAAACTAGGTTATTAGCCCAGAGAACATCTAAAAGTTTTAAATTTTGAATATGGTGCTCTTTCAGTCACTCTACAAACGTAGAGATGGCTGATCACATAGTTATGTTTTAAGTCTGGTATGACTTTCTCTGATATAAAAAATTAGTAAACTAAAGAAATGTGAAAATTAAAGCCACTTACGAAATGGGAATCCCCGAGTTCTGTACAATGTAATTCCGCATCAACTGTGGCACATACTCGTCGTGTGCATTTTTGATGCCCATCAATCACCATTAGTTCTGAACAATCGTCTCCACATGAATTATCATCCTTATGTCTGGACCACCGATC